AAATTGCATGACAAAAACTTAGACGTCTGTGATTATGATTAGCAAATAAACAAGTTTTTTACTTCATGTTTAGTTAATTAGTTCTGTCATTATATCAAGTAAATTTTGAAATATTATTTATATCCTTCGCGTCAAATAAACTCTGGATCAAAAGTACCCGAAGTTGCAAATAAGAAATTTTCCTAAGTTAACAAGATATTTTACTTTATTAAAAAAAGTAAACTATCTTGGGAACTATTGCAAAAATCATATTATTTTTAGTGAGAAAAGTATTCCTTTTAATCCTAGCAAGCAATCGTATAGGAGAAGGTAAATTCAATAACTAAAGTGAAGGGTGTTATAAACACAAAAATATTTTGATATTACTGCCGTATGCACATTGATTTCCATAAAATTTAAATATATATGTTACCGTGAAAGACCGAAATTGGAGAATGTCGACTTTCACCGGAGAATGTCAACATTCACCAAATGCGTTGGTGAAAGATCGAATATTGCATTACATTCTTCTACATTCAGACCCTCACCGGTGTATGTCAACAATCACAGATATGCTCTGGTGTAGGTCGAAAAGAGAGGAGTACATGTCCGTGCTGTCATTGCGAAAGGAAGTGTTCCACAAATAAATGCAGTTGTAAAAGCAAGGACCTCTTGTCAGGGTTGCCACGCTTACCTGAAAAACCGAGAAAAGTCGGAATTCGAAAATTGACCAAAATATTCAGGGAATTTAAGTATTTTTGTCAAAATCTGGAAAAGTCAGGAATGTTCATATAACGATCCCGCCAAAAAAAGCGATTTTTGCCCGACCTCGGAAGAGATAACTTTTTTGGCGAATTATGTAACACGTGAGTGTCATTCGGGTAGCTGGCATAGAGCCAATTTTCGCAGCTCCAATTTGATTGTCTTTTAGAAGGCAAAGCAACTTTCCCGCAACTTTTGGTTTCCAGTAATTCTCGAGAATCACGTGTGCAGTGCATGAACTAAAGAAAGTACCTGTTCTCGTATAAAACATAATGGGTTTAATCTTAGTATATGGTACCATGAAGGTTAGAATCAAAGAATATGTATTATAAAGAAGGAAAACTTCTCTGCAACAAGAGGTGGCTCTGTTCCATCATAGGAGGGAAACAGCTGTGCATGCGCTGATATATCTGTCGCCAAAGCTCGAAACCGGTGTCGAAGTTCGAAGGTCACGTTATCAAGATTTCATAAAATGAAAATCGTTTAAAATTTCTTTAACCACTTGCGCTAAAAAGACGTGCCACGCACGTCAAGATGCTTTGTCTCAAACCGCGAGCGACATGAACACCACGTCGATAAGCATTTATCGCAAAAATGAAAATAACGTGGTGCATACGTCGCCTAACAACGAGATTGTAGCGCACGGCACCGCAACCGTGAAGTTTAAGTCTTAGTGCAAGTGGTTAAACTCTAAAGGAAAAGAAAATATTTTTTGGCGCAAGTAAATTAATTCATGGATTAGTTATTTTCAATGGAAAAAAACTACGAAAATCTGTTTTTAAAATTATTGCGAAAAATCCAAGAAGAAACGTCCTTTGATAAAACGTTTCTTCTTGGATTTTTCGCAATAATTTAAAAATGGATTTTCGTAGTTTTCCTTTTGTCAAAGAGCGTTTCTTCTTAACACATGTTTCTCAATTTCCTGTACACATCGCGGAGAGGAAAATTCTGGTCGCCAGGTTCCGTCGCCAAATCCCTTTGCAAATTTTCCCTCCGCATTCTAGCGGCGTAATAGCATTTTACTTGTATGGAACCTTTTCTTCTTTACATATACGTTCTTTGGTTAGAATAATAATGGGATTTGGCGACATCATGATGCGCAGTAAACAGGTCATTTTGGTCTTGGCAACAATTTTCAAAATCGTGCCAAAGCCTTACCGTATACTAGAATTTTACCGCAAAACCTTTTTAAACCCTTTTTTTTTTTTTTTTTTTTTTTTTTAATAAATACCTTGCCATTTTGCAGTAAAATAAAAAAAATAGTAATCAGTTATCTAGGCTAGCCATGTAATATAACTATATTCGCTAAAATATCGTTGATTATTCTAATTCAATTTTAAGTAATTATCTTTATTTTTATGTTATTCATATAATTTAATGTTGCTTCTTCCCTCTAAATTTATTTATTATTAGTAAATAATATTTCCAAATTTCAGGAAATTTTCTCTGGCATAATCCTGAAATTAATTATAGCAGTATGATGACATACCATCACGAAATTTAATGCACATACTTTTTCCTTATGTATGCTGCGAAATAAATATAAAATACCTCAATTTATTAAAATAGATTTCTTTCTTTCGTTTAGCTGCAGAATGTCTGCAAAAAAAGCCTTATTTTATTCCAGATTGGGAAGATTCTAATCTCAATCTTCAGTGGAGAAACAAAAAACTATTATAATTATATTTGTGTTTTCAAGTGTTAAGGTGCCTTTTAGAAACATACCTCACGCAAATTAAATTTACATTAAAATCTAATTTAGCATTGCGTTGTGAGATTTATAGGACCGGATTAGCCTCGTGAACGGTTGATCATGAGTAATAATTAAATAAAGCATACATTTTGTTATCCAATGTATAATATCTTAAATTTTAAACTTAAGTTTAAACAAAAATATAAAGTGTACCAAGAATAATTAAGAATAAATGTCCTCTGGGATTTATTGAATAAGTGAAGTGCTACACAATACAGTACAAGTAATACCATAATTAATTTACCTCTTAGCACAGCCAACGTACGTTATAGACTGGAATTTTCTTGAAACACACATAATAATGGGATTTGGCGACATCATGATGTGCAGTAAACGGGTCATTTTGGTCTTGGCGACAATTTTCAAAATTGTGCCAAAGCCTTACTGTATACTAGAATTTTACCGCAAAATCTTTTTAAACCTTTTTTTTTTTTTTTTTTTTTTTAATAAATACCTTATGCACACCTGGAAAACCTGGAAAAGTCAGGCATTCTCCTGTTTGAGTGGCAACCCTGTCTTGTGTAATTCAAAGTGTCCTAATAGTTTAAATTGTTGCAGTAAATAGATTTGAATCACATAATTTAGTAAGTTTTTAACTTCTATTATTTTCCTTTCTCATTTTGAATGTACTGTGTGTTTTAAGTTCTTATATTCTTAGGTTCTCATTTCAAGTCTCAAGTGCGTTTTTTCGAGACTGAATTACGGAGAAGAAAATATAATATTCTTATATTTTCAACATTCACCATTAGCACATGGTGAATGTCGACATTTACCGGCGTAAGTCAGAAATAAGAGTATTTGGAAATATTTCGGACATACACCAAGCGACTATGTGAATGTTGACATTCACCGGTGAAAGTCGACATTCTCCAGATTTCGGTGTTTCACCGTAACATATATATATATATAAACACGCACACACACATGTATACATGCATAAAAATGGAGATTTATGAACGGGAAAAAAATTAAACATATATATATATATTTTTCTTTTAAAGTTTTGATTTTTCAGTTTCCCTCAAAATTTTCATTTGATAACAAAATCCATAGCATAAAGCAAACAGTTACTGTTACAAGGTCAGATCGCTTTCGAAGTATTCTCCTTCTTGAAAACTCCGGAAGGGCAAAGTTCTGACAGTGATTGATACTTTTACAGTCTCCGCAGGTGTAGGGGGTAAAAAAAACTGCTTAATGCTTTCGGTGGATACATTGACAGAAACCTTCCATGCGTTTTGAAGCAATTTCTTGACAAAGCTGCTGACGCTTTACAAAACAGTACCTTATCTCTTTCAAAACCCCCGGAGGGTTAAAGGCTTGTGTGAATGTAACTCCACCTTAGACAAGTGCCATGAGATGGTGTACAGTACCACAGGAGGTATAGACATAGCTTTAGTGCGTTGAATAGTCGACAATGATACTGTTGGCGTGGTTCGGGCCTGCCGAACAGTCATCCTATCTTGCCTCACATTTGTGTTCCTTGGCCTTCCAGAACCTTCATTTTGTCAGCAATTTCCTTGTAGCAACCATTGTTGCCAACATCTTTGCACAGCCCTGTCTGTACGTTGCAGGTGGTGGCCTATTGCTCGGTATGACCACCCAACTTCATGCAGCCCTACAATGCGACCATTTTCGAAGTCGTTTAGTTGTCTAAGGTCTTCGTTATCATCGTAATGGCATCTTTACGGAATTACTATGGCAGCAACAATTATCAGTATTATATTCTTAAGCTATTAGAATCAGAATTGTCGTGTTAGTTTTCTTTGGAGTTTGTTAAACTTATCCTTAATCATTGAAACATAATTTAAAATGTTAGTATCAAGAAATATTGATAGAGTCAATTTTGTGAATGCTAATATATTTCTTTGTTAATACAGGGTGATTATAATTGAAGTTGTAATTTCAAAATGCTCCAACTTTAAAACTACCGGTCAGAATGATTTGCTATTTTACCAGTCCAATTCCCCGTGCAGTGCTTATTCCTGCATCACTGTTCATCTATTCTTGTAATGTTGTAGCCACATCTTCCACCGCAGCCACCCTAACTGGTTTTTGTCCTCTACCTCAAATAAACAAACCAGTCTCTCTGAATTTTATGCCTTTTAATGTTTAGAACTTCCTGATAACTGTTAACATAACATCACCGTTCTGATGACAGAAAAGCTTCACGAGCAGAGTGCGATCCTTCTTTGTCAGCCATGATAAAGCATTACGTGTTCTGCATTTTTATTACGGCTATGTCTGTGGGGCACATGTCAAGTCTTAGAAATGTGCATACCTCCACAACAGCCATGTGAACCCTGACAACGCCATCTTCGGCACATTTTAGAACTATTTATTTTTCTTAACCAAACAAAATTCCATTGCCTCACCATTGTTCTGGTAAAATATCAAGTAATTCTGACCAGTAAGTTTTAAAGTTAGAGTGTTTTGAAACCGCAACTTTAATTATAATCTTTGTTTCTGAACTATCTATACATATAATCAATTTCATTCTATTGAATAGACAATGTTAGATGCTACAATCCATGACAGAGAAGCTGGTTTTAGGCTTGCTCCTGGAACTTCCATGTTTATTCACTGGCTTGCTGGAATGGTGTATGTCTTTTATTTTGCTTCTTTTATTCTGCTACTACGAGAAGTATTGCGGCCGGGAATTTTATGGTTTCTGAAGAACCTTAATGATCCAGACTTCAATCCCATTCAAGAGGTAAGAAAATATTACTTCAGATAGTAGTATTTAGACCAGTTTCAGTTGTAAATATGTTCATAATATCTAAAATTTTATATTTAAAAATTATGTTCAGTGTGGGGTTGTTATGTAAAACTTTAAAAGCTGTGTGATATACTGAAAAATAAAAAAAAAAGCTGTTGAAATTTTACAGCAACAGTGATTCTAACACCGGAATCTGAAACCGGAAATCTTTGTATGAGGCGAAATCGGCAAACCTCGATGCTGTGTACATATAATACAATGAATAATATAATCAATTTATATTTAATAATAATTTAATGCATATAATAAATAATTGTAATGTATATAATAATTTAATTAAATGTATCTAATACGCCTTGTTTATTTTTGCACTTTTAGTATGAATATTATGATTTATCTTTTCTGTCCTAAAATCCGCACAACCTCTGGTCCCAAGATTTGCGGATTTCTGGACTCCTACGAAAAGTTTCATTTTAATCATATATATATATATTGTGCACTAATTTTCACAAATATATTACATACTAATTTTCATCATTTTATATATAGCTGTTTAAATTTTATCATATATGTTTGAAAAAATTAACTAGGATTTTCTGTTATATAATAAGTAATACATATCCATGTAATATTATCTATTATTTTTAATTGCTATGATGTTCTATATAAGCCTGTTGTAAAATGTCAGTAACCATCAAATTTAGTATATATTTTTAGGATTAATCACCCCTTGAACATTTTTCTTATTCGTGAGGCTTAATTTTGCTACTAAAAAGTGCATGGGCTTTTTTTGGCAACAACAAGTAATTGCAGAATTTAAAGGGGAGGTAAAAGGAAATAAGCTGTTTTAGCACCCAGCCGTGGGGGGGGGGGGAGAGTGAATAATTTGAAAGGAGTTTATGTGATGTGTTCAGAATGATTAAAAAATATGAAAACGTGTATATTTCATAAACTATTACAGAAATTGAAATTACATGTCAAAATATAGATGTGGTATATGTTGGCGATGTTTTCATGCCAGTCTTCAGTTTTTCATTAAGTTTTTAACAGGGGCATTTGATGCATGAATTTTAGCTAGAATTTTCCTGAAAGCACAATCATGTTGATCTTTGTTTATAAAGCTGATAATGGCATGGAATTCATATAAAGTGATCATTAATGGCAATTTCATTGTTTCTTCATTCTATGTGATCTACTATGACACTGATGATCTAAACTAATTGATATAATTCTTATAAGTGATAGAAGTTTCACGCCATGATTTTGGCCTCACCAATAGTTTTGGTGTCATCCCTACATGATGGATTTAAATCATATCATTGGCAATGATTTTGTTTAACATCATTGAGCTCCATGGAACGAACCTTGTGCCCAAATAAAATTGTTGCGAGGAACTTGCGTGGATTTCCTTTTGAACTCTTATTTCAAACTTGAGCCATTTGTTAGATCATTTTCACTTTTGAATAATTTTAACCTGTTAAGGATGTTGTTTGTTTGCTTCCTATAATCAATCTTTAACTAACATCAGTTTGAAATGATACCCATTCATAGTGCACAGAGGACTGTTCATAAGCACTTAGATTTTCAACTTCGTTGTTAATAGCAGTTCTTGAATATCCATTATGATGCTCGTCTTGCTATACCAATATATTTTTGAATCACTGTAGTGATTCACATATCCACTCTAAGACAAAAAAAGACCAAAAAAAAATCACTGTAGTGATTCACATATCCACTCTAAGACGCACCGAGAAAATAAAGCAAATTGGACACAAATTGATATGCAAAATTTAGTTTTGACGCAAAGGTTTTGGCAGAAAATGCGAAGTTTTACCTTTTGGCTGCCAATGAATGAACATTTGTCGCTACAGCACATCTGATCTGCGCAACTGGCAGGCTGGAACAATGCCACTATTAGACAATGTTGGCAGGAATAGGTGAACCATGGCCACATGCAGCGTCAAGAAGGAACCAATAGGCCTAGAGAAATGACAGAACGTGAACACCGAGCATTCGTCAGAGCGGCACTCACAGCCCCAGATGCATCATTATCATTGATTGTATGTGCAACTAGTGCTTCAGTGACGACAAGGACCATTCATAGACGCCTCACAGAAAGGAGGCTGAGGTCATGGCGCCCCCTTGCACCGACTACCATTGATCTTTGTACAACGTCAGGCCCATTTGCAGTGGTGTCGAGCTCATTCGCACTGGAATGTCACTGACTGAAGTAGAATAGTCTTCAGTGATGAGTCCCGCTTTGAACTGAACCCCGATGCCCAGCGAAGGCGAGTCTGGAGACGATGCGGAGAGCGGTGTGGTACCAACCTTACTGTCTTCCGGCAGACAGGCGGACAACCAGGAGTGATGGTCTGGGGTCCCATTTCATTTCATAGTAGGATCTCTTTGGTTGTCATCCTTCGCAACCTTACAGCGGTACCAGCACAGCGGTACGTTGACGAAGTTCTAAGGCCTGTTGTGTTGCCCTTCATGTCACGCCACCCTGGACTTACATTTCAGCAAGGTAGTGCCTGCCCTCACATTGCATATGTTTACTGCTTGCCTTAGTGCTTGCCAAACATTACCTTGACCAGCAAAGTCGCCGGATCTCTCTCCTATCTCCTCTTATGGGCAGGGCCCTCCAACTAGCTTGTGATGTTGATGATCTAATGTACCAGTTGGACATGGACAGAATTTGGCACGATATCCCTCAGGAGGACATCCGCAACCTCTATCAATCGATGCCAAGCCGAATAACTGCTTGCATAAGGGCCAGAGGTGGACAAACGCATTACTGACTTTTTCACTTTGTGAAGCTCTATCACTTCAATAAATCATCCTTTTCTGTACATTTATATCACTTCTACCAATTGTCATTCCATTCGGATAACTCCTTCTTAATGTGTCGTTTTATTGTCTAAGAGTGTATATTGATATTATCTCAAATAGCCATTCATATTAGAAATACCTTTTTGAGTTACTATTTAAAATTTTTCATTTATCTAAAATGTTTTGAGTAAAGCCTGTCAAAATTTCCAGTGCTTTCAGAGTGAATTTATTTGTGCACACATACTTTTAGGGATGCATTGTAGAAGTAATTCAAATATCTACCAGATAATTTAGGGGAACAATATAAATTTAGTATGTTCATACTTATAAAAATAATTTAAAATATGTTTTATTAGTTAATTATATAAGGACTTTCTAATTAATAATGCGTATTTTTCAGATGATACATTCTCCTATTTTGAGGCACATTCGTAGAGTATTAATGTCCTTAGTAACATTTGGGACTACCATTCTTCTTGTCGTTTGGCTTCCTGTGAGAATAGTTGAAAAATTAATTCCTGGTTTTCTTCCATATTATGTCATATTATCAAGGTATTTCTTACTTGTATTTTAAAAATAAATACAAATTTTTAAGAGAGTTTATAGACTAGAGATAACTAAGATGTGTAGATTTTTAAGAAAAACAACTTATTTTTCAGTGAAATGCCTTACAGTGAGCTATCATTAGAGCTTGTATTATTGCAAGTTATATTACCTGCTTTGTTAGAGCAAGGACACATGAGGCATTGGTTGAAACTTTTCATACGTACATGGTGCATTGGAGTCTCGTACATATTGGATATGCGTTCCTACCTATTGGGCGATACAGATATTGACGAACAAGTAATATTTTTATATGTTTTTTGTTATAAACTAGAGTAGCATGTGTATGTTTATTATTATTTTTTTAAACTTGGATTTGTGTAGCAAACATTTTTACAGTTTTATTATTATTTATTTTGTCAATTTTTTTTTTTTTTTTTTTTTTTTTGTTGTTGTTGTTCAGATTATGTAGAGGATGGTTCTATAGAATTGTTCATAATGTGCTTTTGCAGGTTAAAAATTGCATAAGATCAGAAACGTTGATTTAGTTACCATTTAACTAAAACATGGAAATGGAATTATTTTTCTTTTGTATGAAAGAGAAAATGTACTCTGTGCTTGCTAAATTTTAATCTTAATTAATTACATTACATAATTCAATTGAAATTTCAGAAATAAAACATTTCTTTTTTCTTTACAAGATTTAGTGTATTGCAGATGTCTTCAAGGTAAAGTTAGATTTTGAAAATGATGTATTCTGAGCAGGGTTGGCAAGTTTTTCCACAGTGTAGAAAGTCTGTCGAAGAAATTGATTTTTTTTACTTATCTGATGTTGATATCACTATATTTTTTCATAGGTAATACTACTGTGACAGTGATCAATTTAAATGTCTGATCAATTATTTTTTTTACATTACAATATTTTTTTTTTTTAAAGATGAAAAACAAGTCAGATATTTAGTTGAAGAATATTATCTTAAATCATCTAATTCAGTAAAGGCAAAAGTTTATTAAAATATGCATCAAACCTATGTAAGGCTGAAATATTTTTACAGTGTATCTTAATTCAATTTATTTTCAATTAAACAGAAGCGAAAATGAATGTGTAAACATTGTTTTTTAAAAATAATTCCTTTTTCAGCCACCGGATGCTGCTGTACCAGCACCTCCAGCAGATGGTGAACCTCAAGAGGGCTTCCCTGCTGCTGCTTTAGCTGCTGCACATCAAGCACTTTTCCAAGCAGTGAGCCCATCAAGTTTTCAACCTTATAAACGTCCCAAGTATTTACCCTTTAAGGTACATTTAACTCATTAGAAAATTGTTTTAATGAGTTGTGGGAAATTATATACGTAACATTTGAAGTATAGAATGTTAGTAATGTTATACCTGTTAATGTTTATGAAAAATAAAAGCTTACAGATATCTATTATATCCTTGAGATGCAAATTTGTTACATGTGTAAAATTCCAGCAATACCTTTCTTCCATTCAAAGTCTTTTATAATGTAATAATGAAAATACTGTTTCATTTTTCATTACATTATGAAATGCGATCTCTTATCTCTAAGCTCTGTTGCTTGTGTATGTATGCGTGCATATTGGGTCATGTATGGTTTTTCAGATCAAAGTGCACTTTCTTTTAATTATTTTATTGCTGCTGATTGGGAGTGACATTGATTGAAGCAGATGTTTAATTACAGTCTTTCAGCTCAGGTTGTACAATTCTAACATGTATTGTGGCATAATTTTTGTTTCATTGCAGTCCTAATAAAAAACTCAAAAGTTAATTTTTTTCATATTATGCTCTTTTATTTTCATAAAAGGAAAATGTGCTGGTCTGACTAATAATAAATTTTGTTCTGTATATGGAAAATGTTGTTTCATATAATGCAGTTCAAAGATGGCTTGAGAAGCTGAAGAATTGAAATTTCGGTTGATATTGGCTGTGGCCGACCATCCTCTGTAAACAAAGATTATTAAAAAAAGCTATTGTTGAGGATAAATGTTGTACACTTCAGGAAATATCAGACAGATTAAATATTCAAAACAGTATACAGTCAAAAGTCGTTAATTCGGACACCCATAATCCGGACCTCAAAGCTAAAAACTTACTGCGCATGCGCCGCGTTGGCACATGCGCACAGGCGTTTTACGCGTGCGCGTAAGACCTTGACTACTGCGCATATGCATGTGCGCAAGTGCAGAATACGTTTCCGCCTGCGCGTTTAATGTATAACAGACGGTGTAAGCTAAAATTATCTAATTATCTATTTCAGTTAATGATTGATTGTTGTTCCTTAATCTTTCGAATTGGATCCCGCTTATTTATTTTTTGCAGACTGTAAGAGCAATTTTATAAAAGTAAACTTGAACTTTCGATTATGTCAAATAGAATTTCCGATGCTGGAACTTCCAAAGGATCTACAAAACGAAAGTATGTTTCGATGTCCAACAAACAAAAAGTGGAATTGCTGCAAAAAATGGATAAAGACATGAAGAATGTGACAGAGAGGTTAGTGAAAACGAAAAAATTTCGATTGACAAGTTAGTCGGTATTCTCGGCACAGCAATTAACGGGACTTGAACAGCGGAACTTTGTAACTGAACAAGAAATTATGTCTGTTTATAGAATTAAAGAGAAAGTATTATCACATAAAATGAAGCAACTTAAACAACTTACATTGAAAGAAATGTTTAATAAAGTAAACAAATAAATATTAAGCTTTTTTTTTTTTTTTTTTTTTTTTTTTTTGTAAATTTTGATACCCTTTAGATCATAATTGTTCTTTATTTCATAAATTACGGTTTCATATTTTTAATTTTAGAATTTCTGCATGCCATCTTACGAGATTTAAACTGATGATCTATAATCCGGAAAAATCGATAATCCGGAATCGCCGAAGTCCCGACGAGTCCGGATTAACGACTTTTGACTGTACTAGGTAATCATATGAAGATTGGATTTGTAAGCCTTTATGATATATGGCTTACAAATCCAAATTACCCACACGTTATCATAGCAGAATATGCTTACTGAAGTTCTAGCATGAGATCCTTTGCTAAAAAGGAATAACAAAGCTTCTTTCTTGAAATGCTCATTACTAGAGATGATTTTACTTTAAAATTTTCTTTTTATTTCTATTTAATTTATATCTAGTATGTCCTTTTCCATTTTAGGCTTATAAGCCTTTCACTTGCCATGTAATTTTTCGTATTTCATAAACTTGGAAATGTTTCTTCATTTTTTATTGGAAAAAAATTATAATAAATTATTGATTTCTTTAAAAAAAAATTTTGGAATATTTTGAACTTTTGGTTTATGTAAATTTTTAGAAATGCTGTCTTTGACACATTGCTTTTGATTACCCAATGCTTTTTCTGATTTCCTGCTCAAGTATTCTTCTTTTAAAGGTGTTTAAATATTTATTTTAGAGTCACATCGGAGCAGATTATGTCATGGTAATTCATTAAATTTAACATTTTAAAATTTTTACTTTGTTGCAGTTTGAAAGAACTTTAAATGTTTTAATTAAAGATTCTTGTTTGGCCCTTCATTTTTAATTTTTATTTTAAAATGTTTTAAGAATTTACAATCATCTAGGTATAATTAAAAAACATAAAATAATTAATAATAAACATAAATAATTGTTAAAAATTCTTCTACTGCTCCTTGAAAAAAGACCTTGGAATTTTCAACAATTAAAATATATTTTATATTTTTTGTATCAATTTGTGTTTTATTGATTTTGTTGAATTGTTTTTGCTTTGAGTGTTTCCTTTTGGAGAGTTGCTCCCTTTCATGATTTAATTTTCATTAAGTATTTACTCTTGATTATTTTTATACTGTACCTACTACTTATTAAAATCACTTCCATTCTAAATATATTTGAGTTCATTTAGCAGCTGAGTTTAATAATGGCAATTTATGTATTTTAAATAGTTTTAAAATTTTTAAGTATAATAATAACTAATAATTCTAAAATAATAATTGAAAATTTATACTAAAATTAAATTATTTATACAACTTTTATAATAATTTTTAGATTTTCTATAAACTTATTTTTGTAATTACCTTTTTATGGAAATTTTATTATCTGTTTCATAGAAGTGCTGATAGTGTTTTTGATTAGCACCTTTCGGTTCAACAAATATTCTTAGAATATGCAGTGCATGTCATCACTTTTGGTGTTAGTTTCTACAGTGCTTTTAACATTTTCATAACCAGTTTTTATACATGCACATTGTCTCTATATTGTTGTGAATTGACACATACTCTACAAGTAAATCCTTAGAACTTCCTTCACTAATATCTGAATGTTATCTATTATTTGCAATTCGTCTGATGCTTTTTTTACATGGAAGCCACATTTTTCAAAAAACGTTTTAAACTGATTTTAAGAGATAACCGATGCATTGATTATAATATGCATGGCATCCAGCATATATATTGACTTATCTCTTTTAAATAGAGAATATATTGACTTATCTTTTCATTTTTCACAAAATTAAATTCTGTTCATCATTTAATGAACAGCCTTTTTGTAATTACTTTTGAATGCTTTTATAATATCCTATAAGCAAAGGATGAATGTTAGAATATGCTTAGCATTTACGTCTAATAAGTCTTTTTACTTAGCATTTTAACCTGTTACAAGTCAAACACGCAACAAATTTTAAAATCTTCTTCCAGTGACTTATTTAAAATTCATGTTTCTAGCCAGCAGAAAGATCCCCCCCCACACACACACACTTTTTTTTTTGTTGTTGTTGTTGTTGTTGTTGTTGTTGTTGTTGTTGTTGTTTTTTGTTTAGATGGTCAGTCATTTCATGGTATGAGCATGACCAACATTTTCCTTGTTTTTTTCTTTAGTCCACAGTTACCAGTTCTTTTCCATTTTCATAGACTCTTAATGTACGATAATGTTAAGAAGCATTTTGTGAACTTGATTATGACTCTCTGTGATGGATTATGTATCTGTTCTCAAAGGTACAATTTTGAATGTAAATTAAGATGGGCAGCACTTCCTCCTCCTATCAGCTGGTATTCAAGAAGGAACCCTCACTCATTTACAATATCTCATTAGGACTGTTTTTTGGGGGGTATTAGTTTAATAAATAGTAGTTTTGTGCTGGTTAATATGTATTTGTTTTCATTCTTGGAAATTTGAGGCCCACCAATGGCCGAGAGGTAAAGTCGCTGAACACTGGTAGTTCGGTCCGAGGTTCGAATCCCGCGAATGGGCTGGCTGCATAGGCGTTTTCGTGGTTTCCCCCATGTGTAACATGTATACGAGCTAGTTTCCTTTAGAAAGTCCTCCACGAAGTCATCCCTTCCCTTAGGCAGATAGCCCTTGAGGCTTTGCCGTAATCATGTACACCACCATCTTGGAAATTTGAATATAATAAGCTGCTGAATTTATTAACCAATGAATTTAATAAGTGGTGGATACCATAATATATAAGGATGGATACTGTAATACTTCTTTATATGTATATGTAAAGAAATGTCTTTCGAACCTTTTAGAAATCTTGTCATCCGATTGATTGGCACTTCATTAAAATATTATTGTTTTTATCTTTTAATTTTGGACATCAGTGTTATTTTAAATGGCACTTTTTGTTTCTACATGCTTTTTTAAAAATTAAATAGTAAAATGTTGAAGCAAATTATATAGTAAAGCAAGTTATGTTAATAAAATTCATGTGATTTTTAATATATATCTTGCATGCTCAAAATTTGATGATCGAATTTTAGAAATTATAGCATCCTGATAAAACTAACAAAACTTCTCTTTTTCCCTGAAATTTGTCTTTTTTATCCAAATTATTAAAATGCATTCTTCTAAATCTTATAAATTGCATTAATTAAATCTGAGCTTTTCTAAATTTCAGATAGTGTGCTTGATAATCTTCATGTGTATTAGCTTAACAATGGCAAGTCTTGTGATGATAACAGTACCAGGTAAGAAGCTTTAGATTTTTCAGGTGAAGGAATGTTTGAAAATTGTGTAGATAATATTAAATATGTTTTAGTAATATTAAATTATACTTAATAAGCATCAAGTCATATCATTTGCATCTTGTTGTGTGCGTACTTGTTTGTAATGGATTGAATGCACAAAGAAACAATGATAGTTTAATTAAATTTATTTTCACTAAAAAGAACACTTTGCAGTTCTGGAACTTCACAAAAAAATTAGTTGTACAGCTCTTCACAGTATTGCAGACAAAAAAAAAAAAAAAAAATAGTTGTACAACTCTTCACAGTTTTGAAGAGTACAGTCATTAGTGTCATTAGTCACAGTGCGATGCAAAGCACATCCAAAGAGCAAAACTCACTCAGAGATATCTCCATATTCAGTAGCCAAATTTGAAACAGACAGCAGATGCCCTCTCTGGTCTTACATAGCTTTCAAAGAAAGGTGTAATAAATTCCATTTCTTCAAACCACTGAAAGGCATATTAGTATAGAGTACAGTTATATAAGGATTAATTACATTTATTCAAAAACAGTACCCTAATAGACATTCTGGGACAGGACCAAAATGTCTTTTGGCAATTTTTTGCCAAATTTTGCACTAAAAATTAGTCGCCAAAACCATAGCCAGCTTGGTGATATTTTGATGTTAAGTAGACTTGCCCTTGTATTCTTACTTTTCAGACAAAGCTTTACTTCTTTAGATTTTCTTGTTACATTATACAAAACAAAAACATACTACAATTTCACTAAAACTATTTACATATGTACAAAATTCATAACGTTTCCCCCTTTCCAAGTACTGCCCATCCCTGGACAGGAAGCAATACTTACTACTAAGGCAAATACATGCAATACGTAAACAATAATTTTAGTAAATAGCATAAAAAAATTAAATATTAGATCAATAAATGAGTGCACAAATTTACAAAGTTAGAAAAACTAGGACCATGATCTTAGACTATTTACTTTATATACACTATGTACTGTGGCTATAGTAAAAGACTAACCTATCATAACAACTTTAGGCGTAGAATGCAGTGAATTAAGATCCGAACAACAACATTGTTCAGCCTGTTTAGGACTGTGTAAAGATCATCTGAAGATGACTAGCACTTTAAGAGAGAGTCTTTCCTGTTAAATCCCTGGACTATGATCCCTGGACAGGGAACCTAACTACTACAACTGAGGCAATCTATGCAAGACTTAAACAATGGTTGCAATAAATGACATAAAGCAAATCTTATGCTAAACCAACAAATAAATGCATAAATTTACAAATTTATATACAAATAGGACCATGGTCATACTGTTCTGTTTACATTATATACACTATGGGGGAGACTACGTACTAGTAAGAGGCTAGCCTGTCACAATAAACAACTTTTGCCTTAGAATTCACTGACATACGGATCTGAGCTATGGCATCGTTCAGTGTGACTAGGACTGTGTTAGGACCAGACCAAGGTGACTGTAGTTTAGGAGAAAGGCCTTTCTATGAAATCGTATTCTGCAACCATACCTTATCTCTTTCATTGAATCATGTCCTGTAGCTTTCATGTCGTATTGGATCTTCATATTCTCCATCGCCAAGTTGACTCACTCTTGTATAAAATTGTGCGTCACTTTGAACCATGCCTGGAGGTCTTGGATGTACGATTCAAGTCCAGTTATCTGAACTCCGACTATACGAATCACTTTCAAAATTAACTGAAGAAGAGAAGTAGAAAAAGGGAAAAGCTTAAGAAAAAGGGAAGAGACAGAAGAAGATGAGGATAATGTATCATTTGAGGAATTACGAAACATTCTTTTAAAAATGCCTGGATGTTCAGAAGTTAGTGCTGAAAATACAGCAGAATGGATAGTATGTGATTTGTCAGAACCTCGGTGTCAAATTCTAAATGATGGAGTTGTTAAAAGTGTGAGAGAAGAAACAGTTGAGGAAGAAAATTACCATAATATCGAAGCAGATGCGAGACCATCAGCTAGTGAAGCTTTTGCCAGCCTTGAAACTGCACTGAAGTGGATGGAACATCAACTCAAGTGTGATCACATGCAACTTCTCATTGGCAAGCTACTTGGCTGCCCGAAAATGAATGAAGATAGTCAACAGAATGTTCAGAAAGCAATGATTTTCAGCTTTTGTAAGTATTGTACAGTATGCTATATAACATATACATGAAAGTGTTGCCTTTTCATTTTAATTAATTAAAACCTCTTTTTGTTTAAAAAATAGTTTTTTTTTTCTTCCATTTTCAACATGCAGTACATAAAGTAATTAATTAAAGTGTATGTAGACCCTTTCTTCAGGAAAAACCGAACTATCCGAATTTTTTATTCTCGAAATGGAGTCTGGTCCCAATTTATTTGGGTAATTGGAGTTCCACTATACTCGTCAGATGAAGAAAGTGTATCCGAAGGGTGACCAAATAAGAGATCACAAGGCAGACGATTCATCTGGGCATGGGCATGGGCAATAGCTGGTAATATCGTGGACAGCACTGCTACAGGCCAGTAATAAGAGAGGTAACTTCTGGTACCAGTCCTTGTTTCTGGCAAGAGGCTGTTAAGGATGGTTTGATGAAACCTCTCTACCTTGTTGTCTGACTGCTGACGGAAAAGTATCGTCTTGGTTTTGTTAATGCTGAGTAGCTTGCTGAGTTTTCTGATTACAGCTAAGATAAAATTCCTTCATTGGTGGAGCTTGAAGACTCACTCCAAACTTGTATCATTATTTTGGCTACCATGGCAGCTTCTTTCTTGATCAGGGATACGATATGCTGCAGGGCACTTATTGAAATAATCAGTGATGACAAGGATGTATTTGTTGCCATAGCAGTTTGTGGCAAAGGCCCTTGGTTTTCAAACATGATACCTTTGCTACCATGACACCCTCTTGATCAGGGATAGGATAGGCTGTAGGTCACTTTCTGAAGTAATGAATGACAACAGGGCTGTATTTGTTGCCATCAACAGTTCAATTCTGAAATGCTTTAAAATGGGGCTGCTCATTATCTGACAACCTCTGCCCTACAAGATTGCCACTAATTAGTTTCCCTCATTGCTTGGAGCAGTCTTAGCTTCTGTGCTTTAAGGTGATCTGCAGTTCCTTCGTACATAGCCTTTAACCAGCACTATAGGTACATAGCTAGCACTATAGGGTCAGTTTCTTATGACTTCTATTCTGTCTCAAGGTATTTACTTTACTGGTTAAATTGTCGAAATGAACAGTCACTTGATCCACTGGCTCCTGGACTTGAGTAGCTCTGATCGAGTGGCATTTTCTATGAGTTGCTTGCTGGGTTGCCATGAATGTCATATTGAACAGTAAAACACTTTTTAGAACCTTAATATCTGCAATTCTCAGGGCTTTCTGTTCCTCAGCATCCTGGGTGTCATCGAGGAAGTACTGCAAAGACAGGATTTCCTTTTTTACTGATGGGCACCCAGAAAGAGCTTGAGCCCTTCAACATACGTGGTGAGTTCCGGGAGTATTTCTGTGGGTTCCTGTTGGTGAGAAGACTCCTCTAGTTAAATACTTCTTGAAGAAGCACATTTCCAACATTCTGGCTTCAGAATCCTATTCATTTGTGTTTTCCACTATAGAGAACTGTGTTGTGTATACTTTTCAGGAGGTCTTTCCATCGCATGTGAATAGCTTACAGAGGGTAACTGTGAACTTCCTTCGCTACAGCAGCAGAAACTTTGTCATCAGTTTGTTGATTGATAATAGAAACTCTTTCTTTGATTTGTTGTTCAACAGGAGAAACTCTTTCTTGAATTTCTCCAACTGTCTCTTTAATTGTGTCTATTTTGCCTTCCATGGCCTCGAATTTGTCTTCAGTAGAAGAATTATCTTGAATATAAATTATATAATAATGTAAGTAATTTTTCTTTTAATTTTTTCTTGACTCACTTTCACATCTTTAACAGAGTTTCATCTCTTTTTTAAGTTCAAGTCTTTAGTTAAGGCTCTGCCTATCTTTTCTTCATTGAATGCAGCAAAGGCTGCCACCAGCTGCCTTAATTGCTTCTCCATCACTTTTGTCACCGGCATTTGGTGTCTTTTTGACACCAAAAATTTTTGCATGAGCACAGGTTTGTAATGGATGCACACAGAACTGATGACAGCTTGATAAAATTTATTTTCCCCAAAGAAACAATTTACAGCTCTAGAACTGTTCACAAAAGCACTCATAGTGCTCTTCTGAGTTCATAAAGCACAACCAATAGTTACACTTCGAACTGCTAAAAACGTTAAACACATCCAAAGAGCGAAGCTCGCACAGAAATATCTGTATACTTTGTAACCAACTCTTAACTGAGAAACAGAGAGCAGATGCTCTCTCTGGTCTTGTATAGTTTTCAGCCGGCCGCTGACAAATTTCTAAAAATTCTATTTCTGGAAATTACTGGAAGGCATGTGAGGGCCAGATATATGCAATGCCTTCGCCGGGAATCGAACCACAGACCTCTGGAATACGCGTCCAATGTGCAGACCACCACACCACAAAGGCACGCTAAGAAGGCAAGAGAAATACCACATTTTAACTTTTATAAATTTTTCTGAAATATTATTGAATTATAAAATTTTTACCATCTCCTTATAGCAGATGTATAGTTACATATGGATCAGTTGCTTTTATTCAGTTACATTACAGTGATACAAGGACTGAATGAAAATGTCACCAATGTTATCGACTTTTGTTGATTTCTTTCCAAGTTTTACAACAAAAATTAGTCAACAAAACCATCACCAGTGTAATGATATCTTGAAAATTCAGCGAGATAGCTGGTTATTCAATGTTAAATACACTTGCCCTTGTATCCTTACTATTCTGGCTAAGCTTTGCTTCTTTAGATTTTTACGTTACATTACCAAAAATATATAAGCCACATATAATTTTACAAAAATTATTTCCAGGTAAACAAAATTCAAAATAATGTGTGTGTGAGAGAGAGACATAAAATATGTGTATCAAATTTAAACCCTTCTGTTTTTCCCAGCTTTCCTAAAAATAGGAACTGCTTATAATAACTGTCAAATGTATCATTTCAAAATTAATTGTTGTATGATTCCTGCATAAAGCCAATGATACTTACATAATGTTTCAGCTAATAATTTTAAATTTGGGAACCAAAACTTAAGTCAGTGGGAACTAATTGAAACTAAACTAATGTAAATGAGAATTTCATTTAGGACACATCGTGTTCTTTCTCATGCTTCTCTGCTGTTGCTTTTTCTTCAAATGTATTTAGAAAAACATAAAAGGCCACTGTTATAGTAGTTCAGCAGCAGTCACTGTTACTGTGTCAATTTATGTGTTGGCTTTGTTAATGAAATAGAGAGATTAAATCACCCGCTGTGATTAACTACTTTATAGTATATATAAAGTAGTTCTTTTCCAGTTTTTTTCATATTTCTATATAAAGTACAATATTCGAGATATGACTTTGGCGATTCCAGATTTGGGAGTTTTCCAGATTTTAAGTCATCACTTTAAATCTTATAAGACGACAAGTAGAAATTATGAAATTAAAATCTGAAATAATTGTTTATGAAGTAGTGAAGCATTTGTGACTTTAGAAAAAAGTACTCAATATTTATTTCCTTCATTAACTATTTCTTTCAATGCTCAGTTGTTTAAGTTCTTCTCCCCTTTTCCCGCCCTAAAACCTTCTCTTTAATTTCATAGACAGACAATTTCTTTTTCAGTTATAAAATTAAAATCTTTACTGTGTCACTGACTAAATTATCAGTTGAAATGGTTTTGTTCTTAATAACCTCTATATCACTTTCCTCATGATTGGTTGCAAAATTTTCTGAATTTAAAACCATACTGGAGATTTTGCCATTCATTAATTGTTGGGGCATTGTCATCACAACGTAAGACTTCTGTTATATCATCTTCATTTATTACCACTTTTCCACATTTCTTCATGAATTTGAGTAATAGGAAAATTTTGCTTTCTGTATGTTATATCCCAAAATCTTCAAATTTGTGGGTATCATCATGAAGCTTAAAGAACATCCACAATATGCTATTGGCCATGTAGCGTGAGATTGCTAACTAAAGATATGTTGTTTCATTAAAATCTGTCTTGCTCCTATTGCAGGCTGAGGAAATTAAGCTTGAAATATGTTATTTATTATACATGCATCTATTTCTCGCATATGCTTAAGGCTCATCAGAGCCCCATTGAAGTAAATTCCTACATATACATGTACTCTTTATTGTAATTATGCACCTACCATGTATTTTGGCAGGTATTATAATCATAAACAATTTCTAGTTATAAGAATAATTTATAGTGGCAAATACAAACACTGTGTGTGGCAGGTTGATGGTCAATAGATCATTTCTTACCATGCATTATAAGGCATTCTGAGTATATAATAGAAAAGTACTTTTAAGGTTTATTGGAACAAATCAGTTGTCTTCAATTGAAACATCACTAAATGTCATGTAAATATCATTTACAAAAACCTGCTTTTAGAAATTTCTGTTAAATTTCTTTTCGTCAACACACATGACACTTCAATGTTGTCTTAAGTTTTATAATCATTACCAAGCAATTATGTCAGCATAAAAGGTTACCATGCTATTTGGTATTCAGTCACTAATATTTAAAACAAAAACTCTTTTAGACATTGCTGCATGAGTTATTTCTTAAGCTGCAATGAGTTGACAGTCGGGGTGATAAGAGCAAAAAATAGTAAGGAATCATCATGTTAATGTAAGGGTTATATGATATTCAGTAAGCATAAAATCAGTGATAAGCTTTGATAGAATGCTTTGGTTTTAAATGTATGCTGAGCAATATGGTGGCTATGGAGCCAAATTAATGATCATACAGATTTATGCTAATAAATGAGGGCATTTCTTCAATGCAGAGGTGTTTTATTTAATTAATGAATTAAAATTAAGAATCAAGACTCTTTTCATGCTTTATTTTGAAAAAATGCCTACTGCACATGCATGAAGCATTAAGGATATGCTACTCTCAGATTCGTAATTTTTTTTTTTTTTTTTTTTTTTTTTTTTTCTCCTGTTTGTGCAACAGAAAATTACTGGTAGAGGGGAGGTCCAGATTTTGGACTTTGTACTGTATGTATAAAGAAATAATTCTAACTGTAATGCTTTATATTTTGTGGTGAATTCTGGGAATATAAGCATTTCTAACAAGTACTTGATAGTTTTTGCATAATTCTTATTATTAATTGTGGCATATTGCTTTAAAATATTTTTTGAAAGTTTTAAGATCTCTAGGCTCATTGCTCAAAAAGAATTGAGAAAAGTAAGTTTATGAATTTACAATGAGGTTAGGAGAATCACCGTTCCCTGTGAATTTCATTTCAGTTTGAAACATAAGTGATTATAGCACAAAAAAATATATTTACTATATACAAACATAAAGGTTAAAAAGAGATTCATGGAGGCTTTATTTATTTGATCAGAAATATATTATTTCCAGTTGTGAAGTTTTTTAAACAAATGAACAAATGTTTACAATTTTATTAATGATTTAAACTTTTATGTGGTCCTTACAAAGTTTAATTTTATGTAGTGAAATAATATTTTTGTTTAAATTGCTTTAAAGATGATAAAAGTCTTGTAATCTTGGGTGCCGAATTACTTAGTCTAATTCTCAATTTTGCATAAAAAATTAGAGGTTAGGTTACCAAATTAATGTTCGAAGTTCTTTTACTTTAGCCTTAGAACAATATAAGTGGTGATTGGCACAGACAGTTATTCATAAATCTTTGTTAATGTTATACTTAAAAATATAATGTTCTTGATGCATGAAATTATGCTCCTTAATTTTAAAAAACTTCACAAATAGAAACATATGTTTAGACTCAATATTTACCTACAGGTCATACCACACGTTCAGAACATTGGAAGGACAACTCTTCGAAACAATATTTTCGCTTTATCACATGATATAAAGCAGCGAATTACCACGAATCACTTTGGGATTACCATGTAAAAGGGAAACTAATTCTGTATTATAAATTATGGTTGATGATGGGGGATTCAATGCTGATAGCTGATTGGTTGTGGAAAATGAATAACTTATTATTTTTTTGCTAAAGGAAAAAAATCATGCATCTTTATTTCAGTGGTGAAGCGAGTAAAAAAAATTGAAACAGTTGTTCATATCGAAAAATGGACGTGTGATAGCAGCCTTAGGAGGGATACAGCCTTTCTAAGGAAAGCTGGTTCATACTCTCATTGCACATGAGAGAAAAACTTGAAAACCAGCAATGCAGGCAGCCTGTTTGCCTGCTTTCAATTCAAGTTGAAATACTAGTATTGGCAGTCTTAACTACTCAGTCACTGGTGCATGCTAACATTTAAAGAAATAAAGCTTTAGTGCTTTTATATGTAGCACAGATGTATTCATAAACTGGTTTTGAAATAAGTCTTTGTATACATCTTGACTCACCTTTAAAGGGATGGATTTATTTCACACACACACACAAAAAGAAAATTTGGGGAATAATATTCTTTCTTAACTGGTCTTTTATAAAGTGCTTAGCATTTAAGCCACTAAGGAGATCAATCTCAACTATTCACTCTGCATTCTGAGTTGAAACATTAGGGATAAAGTCACAGGAATTTTACTTTACTTAGTTGCTTTTTCAAACTTTAAATGTCATGGCTATTACATCTGTCATCCCAGTTCCAAAAGGTTTAATAAGTGCTGTTGAAAATGCAATTGATGCAGCTGAATCGGAACATTTTGAATCCTTTAACTTGAGAATGTAAAAAACTAGCCTGGAATATTGTAATTATAATATAAGGTTGAATGCCATTTATGCTTAACCAATTCTTTTTCTTTTCCTTAATTATATTTTATAAAAAAAAAAAAAAAAAAAAACGTTGCTTTTATTGCTAACAATTATTATGTTCCTTTTTTAGTGTTTGTTGGTAGAAAATTGATGTCTCTCTGGCTAGGAAGTATAAAAGTTCATGAATTATATACTATTGGCTGTGGATTATATGTCTGTTGGATTATGTTGCGTGTCTTAACACTGCTGTGGAGTTGGATTCCAAGAGGATGGAATACTATCTCTTCTAAATTGAAGGAATGGCTAACTATTGTAAGTACTTTTTTCACAACATCTTATTATTTCCAGCTGCAGTCTTTAAAGTTTAGATTTTAGTGTTTAGACATTTTAGATTTTTCACATTCATAATATATTTTGATACTAAATTAAAATTGTGCACACAGTATCATAATTAGATTATTATATGTCAAAAATTCTGAAGTCATAGCAACAATGAATTAATATGTATTCCAACTAATTTTTTTATTGCACGTATTTTTGAATGGCCAAGATTAAGAATATACCAGTGTGTAATGATCTTCAGAATCAGGAAGATCTATTAAAATGGGAAGAGGACAGAATCATTTAGTGCATTGTAAAAATAAAAATATGAATTTATTGTTGAGTGGTATGCAAACAATACATTTTGTGCTAAGGTGCATAGTATATGCCAGTAAAGGCATCTTTTATTGATCGCACAAGTCATGTAAATGTTTTTTAAAATGATTTAATTAAATACTAGTGTAAGAAAACAAAACTTTGATTAATATTGATTTTATTTTTGAACACAAACCTTCTTCAGCTAGCACTAGAAAACATTTCTTCCATATTGATATTCCATATGGTGGGGGGGGGGAGATATGTGAGTAAAGTGAGCAAATAGCATTCTCTTTCTTAGGAAGAAAATAAAAAAAAAGGGTCTTTTTCAAATTAATCTTTGTGTTATACCATATTTTTTCTAAGATGTTGGGATGCAATTTATGAAAAGTTTTTAGTCTATCTTGTTCATAAAATAGATTCTTAAAATTTTTACCATTTCAAATAATTTTTATTTTAAAATTCAGAAGAATATATATAGGTAGAAATTATTTGCTTCTGTACTGTGAAGTTCTGCAACAGCTCATATTTTTGCATTTAAATAGTCTTAATTCAACTTTGTTTTGTGTTCATTATTAAATGTCCGCAGTTAGTTTCATTGCTGTATAATTAGTAGAATTCTAAATTTTACATGCAAAAAAAGGTATCAGATTTATCTGTTTGTAAGTATGCATTTTAAAGCTTATTTTTTAAATGCTTAATAATTTTTTTATTTAAATTTACTGATGGTGGTGGACTGTATACTGCTAATGAACATACAGATTTTATTCTCCTCAAAGTGTATGCAAAAAATGATGCTGAATGCTGAAGGGATGTGGTGCATAGGTGTAGATAATGATGTAAAAAACACTGTGCTTTGAAATCTCATTTTGAATTTTACATTTACATTATAGCACAACATTGATATGATTTACACTTATTTTAAACAAATAAGGACATTTAGTGAATAAAACTCAAGTTTAAGCATTTATATACAGATGCTAATACATTATTTACAATCTGGGCAAAATGGAATTGTAAATTCATTTGCTTATTACCTTTTGTATATAACTTATCTTCCAAATGGTGGTAAATTAGTATCCTTCAGTAAGACGTATTGTTTAAACTAAAATTATCCATTGAAAATTTCCACTTATTTCGTAATTGCAAGTAATTTAAATAATCCTGGGACAAATTTTTCCAAACTAATTGGACTGATTTGCCATCTGGATAAAAAAATTATTTGAAGTGTCAGTTATATTGGGCTCAGAAATATACACTAATGGACGGCATATTATGTCCAGGTGTCTAAACTGAATAATCGTTTGCATCTGTTGACATTGGTACAAGGGCTCTCTTATTTAGTATGCCCTCTATTTCCGTGGTTACAGTTAAAAATTCTCCAAACAAAAGTCTGACTGAGCATACAGCCCATTTTAAATAATGTTTAAAAGATTTCACCCCAGATTCCCATAATTCCCCAAAATTTTGAGATCTCGGGGGGGAATGAACTTCCAATTAATTTTTTTTCTGAGCTTAGATAATAAGCTAAACTTTCATGGGGATAACTCATTAGATAAATACAACCTTTTTATTTATGAATTTGCACAAACATTATCAGAATATAAAAATATTTTCCTCATTTTATGAAGAAGCATTTTAAAGCTGCAATTTGTACAGTTGTAGATAAGTCTGTTACTAACGCTAAATGAATTGCCTTAGTGGCAAAGCATACACATCTCGAGACATAATTTTTTTTTTTTAATTTGACCTTTCATCGAACCTTATAATTAGTCAAAAATGGGCAACAGAAATCACTTTCATAGTTATAAAATAGAAGACTGTGGTTAACTCTGTCTACAAGCAAGTTTCCCATAAATTGCTCAGAGGATGTGGGTTTGTTTTTAAGGCATGTAACGCATTCATTTACAATTTTCTGAGCTAAATTTCTTCCTCCTGTTGGCCCAAATTCTTACCTCATACAATGTAACAATGTTTGAGGACCTATATGTAAATATTTCTTATGGGGGGATTCCATAATAATGTTAGTAAGTTTGTGCCAAGAAGGCAAAAGCTTGGGATGTTTTTTATTTTGATCAAAGTCCGCATTTTGTTAAACATCCACTTACATTAAAGATCCCATTCCCATCTAAAAAGGGGTTCATATTATGTAATTTACTATTCTTGATATCTTTGTTCCTTTTTAAACAAGAAATTTCTTCACAAAATTCATTGCTTTGTACTAATCTTACCAATACTTCTGAAGCTTGGTTCAGTTCTTCTACATTCAACTTATCCTTTTTGGACTGCCTGGAATGTTTCATATTATGGAAGAAAACTGAAAATAAAGTTTAATATTCGATAAAGTTTAGTGAAATTATTAAGCTAAAAAATTGTGAATAAAGTCACAGTTTGAATTAATTAATAAAATTGATAAGCTAGAAGGTATTAGTTCTTTTTCAAAGTTCTCATCCACAGGTGTTGCACAAGCACCTACCACTGGAAGGTCACAACCAAGCACAGCCACTCCACCACAAGGAATTGTTTAACAGTTCTGTAGCTGAGGTACCTCTGGAAATGTCTGGAGGATGATCAGTTTTTGGAACATTCCTCTAATCAAAATTTGTGTGTAAAGAATTTATCAGCTTAACCCAATTAGATAAAAATGTTTCTAGCCCATCAGGAGACATGCTGACTCAGTCTAACATAATCGTTGAATCGTTCCACAGATATATTTGATTGAATTGAATTTGAAGAATTGGAACCACCTTTGCTGCAAGGTGGGCTAAAAGATAAGCAACTGATAGTTCCATTCATGGTATAGATAGAGCTTTATTTGGGCAAACTCTTGATTTGCTGCACAGTAGACTAGATTTCATACATTCATTTCTGGCCTTTGAAATGATATAAATTGCCATACCAAAAGCCTCTTCGTATGCATCCTAGAATCTGTGAAGATTAATACTGATGGCATCAAGTATAAAAATAGATCTAGGAATTTGTAATTTATTGATTTCTGGTAGCTCCTTTATAAATTTTACCCATACCTTTAATTCATTGAATGGAATGGGATTGTTCGAATTGAGTTTATTCTTCCACATTTCTTGGAGAAATATTTTGGCCGTGGTAATAACTGGACTTACAAGAACCTGTGGATCAAAGAGTTGAGTGGTAGTTGAAAGGACTTCACATTTCTTAAAATTGTCAGGCAATTGTTCGGATATTTTAAAATTCAAACAATCTGATGAAGGTCACCGTAATAAACCAAGAAAGAGTCTTAACTGTAGGTTGCTGTTATGAGAACATGTATTCTTCGATTTTACTGTCATTTAACAAATCAGTATGATTGGAAACCCATTTATGTAACTCCATGGCTCCTGCTGTTAAGAGGTTTTTCTAGTTCAATCTACATGTCCTTTGTGTCTTCTGAGTTATTTGACTTGGATAAAATGTCATCAGCATATGTATCATTTCTTAGTATACGCAATGCCTGACAAATTTCTCTTGTTCATCTTCAGCTAATGCCATCAGCGTTCTAGGTTCTAAAAATAGAGTACATGTTGTTCCGTAAGTTACTGCTTTCAGTCTATATGTGTTCACAGGAGCAAACAGACTTAGCTTCAACAATATCCATTGTAAATCTTTGTCAGTTCCTTCTACTAGTATTTGATGATACATTTTCTTAATGTCTGCACCAAGCATACATATGAGTGTGAAATCTTGCGGTGATAAAAAATAAATTATTGTAATTTTTAATAAATTATTGTTAATAAATTGAAATAAAAAATTGTTGTACAGTTCCTCCATTGAGCAATATAGGACAGATAGAAACCTCATTACTTGATTTAGAAATTGCATCAAAAACGATGCAAACGGGAATTCATATACTCTCAGGACAAAAAATAGCATGGTCAGGGATATTATATTGTATATTAGAACACTCGCTATCTTTAATTTTTTCCATGTTGTCAAGGGAGAGATATTCATTCATAAAATCCTGATATAATGTTGCTGTGGTTTTATATTTATCAAATTTCTTCCAAACTAAGTTAAAATGCCTTTTGCTATTAGTTTGTTAGTTTTCATAGTGGCAACAATTTATCATCGATTATCAGTCAGAGTTGGCAATATATCTTCCATTTTCAATTTTCTTGAGTGTAGAAATGAAATGCTCCACACAGTTTTGCTTTTCAGAAGTTTTGTCACTTGCATTTTCAGCATGATCACCAAAAAATGAATTCTAACTTAAAGAATTGTTTGACAGACATATCTAAATTATCACCTTCTGAAATTAACCCAGAAAAATTATAAGAATTTTAATTTTTGATTAACCAAGCACACTTATTTTATAACAACAATGAACCATCAAAAGTCTTGGAATCTTTCTGCTTTTCTGCTGAGAGAGGATTTTCTGTGTTGTTGCTAAAAACAAGGACTAAATTTAAATCCAATATTAATAATGACACCTTAGAAAAAGTTTTATTAGTGAAAGCGGAGCTATGTGGTAATTGCTGTGAACAAAATTACGAAGTTTCTTTCATAATGAAAGCAAAATCTGCCACTATGCTTAGAATTTCTGTGAAAACTGATTAAAGTACTTTTCTATTAAAGAATCCAAATAATAAAAGTATTTATGTAATATTTGCATTTAAGAATTTGTAACTGAATCTTCAAATATTAATTAGTTACTATTTAAAGTTAATTCATTATTGAAAAATATACGTTCTTTCTGTGTATTTTTTCATCTAAAAAAAAATCTTTTTGTCATTGAGAAAATTCTCTTGCTTTCTTTAAAAACTCTCCTTGAGTGTTGTACTTTGGCAAGTATGCTTATAGTTGCATTTCTACTGCTATCTTTTATTAACTTCAAATGCAGAAATATGTAGTAAGAATTCTTATAAGGAAAGGTAAAGAGGTATTTCTATGCACTTCGGTACTCGCAGACTATTGTTGGTAGCACAGTTTTTTCTTACTGCGCTGATCTTATTGTACTGATTTCAGTCTAAAAAAAGGCAATATTTATTTATTACTTGCGTCTTTGGAGAATGGAAGCATTTAAAATTTATCAGTGCTGAAGCCCTTTCAAAAAGTGGGTGGTAGCGAAAGAAAGGATACAAGGCATTCGATTTCCATCCACTAGATTGCTGTCATTCAGAGCTTGTATGCAGTTTATAATTATCATATCATTTCAATTTTAACTGAGTCATCTTGTCAATTTTCCTAGCACATGTACCCATTGATCATGTGTTTTGAATATAAAAAATAAATTACCAAGATAGTTTATGTGGGTAAATTAGACCAAGATGCATTAAATTTAAAAACTATATATAAAATTGGGTATATTGGAAGTATTTTTTATGAAAATATTTCATTAAAATGCAAAATATATTACTTGTGATCATGCAAAACTACGATATAATTTTTTTTTTTTTAATCTGATAAATTTTAAAAGTGAATGTCTAATTGTGATTTTCCTTTTTATTAGACTGTCAAGATGGTGTGTGCAATGACTGTGTTGTTAGGCCTGATACCAGTTATGATGGGCCTTTTGCTTGATTTAATTCTCACTGTTCCAGCAAGAGTTTCTCTAAACCAAACACCAATAATTTCAGTTTGGCAGGTAAATTTATATTTTAGGCTATTTGATTTTGTACCCTCAAAAAACTAGTTATCCTATGTATTAGAAAAATTTAAATAGAAATAACTCAAATGATGCTTTTGTGATACAGTCAAAAGACTTTAATCCGGAATGAACTATAATCCGGACCTCAAAGCTACAAACTTTCTGCGCATGCGCATTTAATGTATAATGGACGGTATAAGCTAAGCTAAATTTATCTAATTATCTATTTCAGTTAATGTTGGAGATTGCGTTGTTCCTTAATCTTCGAATTAGATCCGGCTTATTATTTTTTGCAGACTGTTAGAGCAATTTTATAAAAGTAAGCTTGAACTTTCAATTATGTCAGATAGAATTTCCGATTCTGGAGCTGCCTAAGGATCTACAAAGCGAAAGTATGTTTCGATGTCCATCAAACAAAAAGTGGTATTGCTGCAAAGTATGGATAAATGCATATCCTTTGTTTCTCTAACCATTCCGAAATCTGTTTATCAATTTCACACTTCTCTGCGGGGGAGCGTCGCGGCGCACAATGAACTGGAAGTTGATCTGTCAGCACTATCCTTATCTTCAGGGCAGATATTTTTATTTTATTTGGCTTATAATTTATTACTAAATGTAGTATTTCATCTCGATATACTCTGATATGATAAATTGATTATAAATATCATGAATACACATCAAATAGTTTTCTGGTTGCAATTTTCTAATTTCGACTATGCGTAATGTATGCTTTACGCATGCGCGCGTTGAAAGAAATGTTTATTAAAGTAAACAAATAAATATAAAGCCCCCCTTTTTTTGTAAATTTTGATACCCTTTAGATCATAATTGCTCTTTATTTCATAAATTACGGTTTCATATTTTTAATTTTATAATTTCTGCATGCCATCTTACCAGATTTAAACTGATGATCTATAATTTGGAAAAACCGATAATCCGGAATCGCCCAACGAGTCCGGATTAAAGACTTTTGACTGTATTTTATATTAGAAACTTTCTTTTATCATTTACACATCATGTATCCATACAGCAGGTATATATGTTTTTTATGAGATTCTTAAAAGGTAAAGATGTAATATAAATTTTTATTCCGTAAAAGAAAGAATTAAGACTCTAAACAGGATTTAGTATGTCTATACTGTTTTCCTTGCATAACTTTGAGAAGGAAGTTCATTAAAATTAGTAGAATTTAGTGAATTAATATCTTAACATATTAAATGAAACATTCCCCTTCCTTGTTTTGGTAAGCATCGTTAAATGAAACATCTTTATTGCTATCAAAATATTTTGAGTTTCTGTTGGATTGAATCTTCTTGATGTGCTTTTAAAAAAAAATTATAAAATTATTCTTCTTTTCTTCTTCTTCTTCTTTTTTTTTTTTTTTAAACCCAGTGTAGGAATTTAGAAAAAAGAACTCCAGTTATTCAGCTAGCTGGGTACTTTGCAGAGAAAAAATTTTGAATTTCAAAGTTTTATCTGTATTGTCATCCTCATAATTAATTTGGTCTAACTCAGATGCTTCTATTGCTAAATCAACTCCTTCTGCTTGTACTTTTGAAGTATTTTCAAGACTTGCATCAAATAAAAGCTTTGTTTTTCTAGAATGTTAGCAAGTTTGGCTTTTGCATCATTTCATTTTTATTTTGGCTTTAAATTGCTTTCCAGATTAAACTGACACTGTTGAATCCCATACTTTTTTATACTGCCTTAGTTGGTATCAGAATTTATTTGGTATTTTCCTGTCTTTTTTATAGAATCTGAAAATTTCATAATTTTTCTATCATCCTAATATAGAATTAATTTTGGTTCATAGAAACGCTTTTATTATATTTATTTTTGGAAATGTTTTTAAATGTCTTGGCTCGACTTTAAATTTAAATTTATTTGAAAATCAGTATGTGTTAAGAATTTTTTCGGTGTTCTGATACAGTCAAAAGTCTTTAATCCGGACTCTTCGGGACTTCAGCGATTCCGGATTATTGTTTTTTCCGGATCATAGATCATCAGTTTAAATCTGGTAAGATGGCATGCAGAAATAATAAAATTAAAAATATGAAACTGTAATTTATGAAATAAAGAGCAATTATGATCTAAAGGGTATCAAAATTTACAAAAGAAAAAGGGGGCTTTATATTTATTTGTTTACTTTATTAAACATTTCTTTCAACGCTCACATGCGTAAAGCATACATTACGCATAGTCGAAATTAGAAAATTGCAACCTGAAAACTATTTGATGTGTATTTGTGATATTTATAATGACGAGGAATTTTATTTAAATCATATCAAAGACAGAGTACATCGAGATGAAATACTACATTTAGTAAGGAATTATAAGCCGAATAAAATAAAAACATCTGCCCTGAAGATAAGGATAGTGCTTCGGAATGATTAGAGAATCAAAGGATATGCCGTTATCCATTTTTTGCAGCATTTCCACTTTTTGTTTGATGGACATCGAAACATGCTTTCGCTTTGTAGATCCTTTGGTAGCTCCAGAATCGTAAATTCTTTTTGACATAATCGAAAGTTCAAGCTTACTTTTATAAATTGCTCTGCAAAAAATAATAAGCCGGATCCAATTAGAAGATTAAGGAACAACGCAATCTGCAACATTAACTGAAATAGATAATTAGATAATTTTAGCTTAGCTTGTACCGTCTGTTATACATTAAACGTGCATGCGCAGAAAGTTTGTAGCTTTGAGGTCCAGATTATAGATCATTCCGGATTAAAGATTTTTGAATGTAGTACTATCTTTAAAATACATAATAAAATTTCATCATTGCTGTTGAGTCAAAAAGTGTTTTACCATTATTTAATTTTTCTGAAGAATTTGTTTTACCATTATTTTATTTTTCTGATAAATAGGATTGGGCAATAGGTGTGTTACTGACAAAAACATTCTGTGCTGTAGTTCTTGTTGGTCCTAACTGGTGGATGAAGAGGGTGATTGAACAGGTAAATCTGTTTACTCTTTTATGAAAAATGAGAGTTTTCATTAATTATTGAGACATGAGACTTTTCATTAATTATTCCTTTGCTTTATCCATTTTATTATATTATTCCTTTTCTTTATACATTTATTATATTTTATTATTATACTGAAGAGTTATTTGCCATGTATGCTTGCATGTACTTTCATTTGTGTTTGTCTCACATTGCAAATTGCAGTGAAAATTGTTTGTTTCAGTTTTTAATTAAGCTTAAAAATATAAATATTTTTAGTACATTGCCTTATTCATATTTTAAATTACTTCCGTTTTTTTTGGGGGGGAAAGGGAGACGTTGATTTCACTGAATTCATTTTCTTCAGGATACGTTCTTGTTATGAAGAATAAAATGTATTTAAATACTTTTCACTTGTAATGAACTAGTGTATCAAAATAAGTAGGTGGGGAAAAAAGAAGGAAGGAATTCACATTTGTTTCACTTCTTGTTACAGTTTTGGTCTTGTACATTCTGTTATTAAAAACTAATGTGTCTACTAATACTGCATATGTTCTTTATTTAAAAAAAAAAAAAAAAGCACTAGAATTACTGATGTAACTGATGCTCCTGTCTATATGCTTATTTTAAACAAACAGAAAAATCCTTGACAGATCAATGGTTATGTTATTAAAATTACTAAAATATGCCATTATGTGTGAAATGTTAATTAAAATGATAATTTGTACTTACAGTTAATTATCTTTTGTTAGAAATGAATTTTTAGTTTATAATCTAAAGGGCTTATTCAAAATTATATATATAATATTATTATTATCAATATTCAATTCCCCCCCTTGTGCATGCCTGGGAGAGAATTTCAAAATCAGTATTTTGATTTTATGATTGTAATACTCACTTGTTGGAACCTGGGCATTGAAAAAGATAAAGAAACACTCACTCTTTGAGAAAAAGATTTTGAGAAGTGTTGTTAGAGGTATTTAAATAGATGGTAGCTAGAGAAGAAGAACCAATGCAGAAATGTACGGGATATATGGCTGTCCAAACATCGTAAATTTTATTAGCACCTAAAGATGGGCTGTGGCCTAATCAGAATGCCCAAAAGTAGAATTACTAAAAAAATATTCACATCCAAGGCAATATGCCCTCGGAAGGAAAGGAGACCGAAACACTTATGGTTAGACTGTTTGGGGAGAGACTTGTCTAACTGTTTATTATTTTATTAATTAGAAGACTAAGGCCAAAATTAGAACAGCCTGGAATCAAATTCTAAAGAAGGCAGAGGCCCATCATATGCTATCAGGTCACTGAAGAAGATTATTTACTTGTTTTAAAACAAAAAATATATAAAAAAATAATTATATTTACTATTCTAAAGTAATCTTAGATCAACTTTGTAAAGTTTCTTATAGTTTTTCTGTTAATTATGCTGTAATGTCTGTTTTTTTCTTAATTTGATAATTCTTTTGATAATTGTTCTTGTTTCATAATTTAAAATACATTGAATTTTTGGGAAAGTGTATATTATTATTTATATTATTTTATTGTACTTGCTATTGTGAAACACTTATGAATGAAGCCAAATACTTATATATTAATATAAGATAATTTACATTTGTCTTTGAAATTTTTAATATATCCCAATCATGTTTTCCTTTTGTAGGTGTATCTGGGTGGTATTCGTAACGTCAATTTGCGTATAATATTCATTGATCTTGCTCTACCAGTCATAGTTGTCTTGGGCTTATCACTTGCTGTACCTTATATTATAGCATGTAGTATCATTCCAATGTTTTGTAAGTAGCCATCATGCTTGAATTTTATTTCTTTATTTTAAATTATCAGTATTAAGACTGCTAATTTCCTTGTAAAAACTTTTTTTTTTTTTTTTTTTTTTTTTTTTTTTTTTTTGAGGTGATAAGGAAATTTCCCAATTAACAGGGAATATGTCTTCCAGTTTGAAATTTTAAATTGGTTAAAAAAATATGCCAGAAAATTAGCATTTGTAACTTTATTATGTACTGAGTTTTTAATCGCAAAGTTTCGGAAAATTTTTAAGCATTTTTAAATATTGGAAATTTGTAAAATGACAACACGGCAGTATGTGGTTACATTTTTAATTACCAATTTATACTGTTTGTGTAGGGTGTCATCTACTTCCAATGATAACACCAGTAATAAGATTTAAAAAGAAAAATGAAAAGTAATGTGAAAAAATGAGTCCATAGCATCACATGAAAAGAGCAATTATCACATGAAAAAAAGGTTTTTAGAGTCTCTGGCTAAACTGCATCTTCACTTTCGGTTCACATTTACTCGTCTCTGTCTCAATGGCGGAATCCTCTCACGCGAAGAAGGAAGAATTTAGTTTCGCAGTTTGCGGTGTCATCTAGCTGTTGTTGCGCTTGCTACTCAACTTGCAGAAAAGAGACCGATGATTATATATATGTTTATATGGAAGCAAGCTATTCTCATAGTTGAATTTGTTTCTATTACACAAACTACAGTTATTTACACTTCTCAGACTGATGGATAGTTGAGTATCATGTAACAAAAATAATTTTATGTTAATTGGAAGTTTTTAATAAAAATGTATGCTATTTTAAATTTATGATTTATAATTGGTACACATTTTATGTAGTCATATTTTATTAATAACACTGTATATTTGTAATGCATATTAATAAAACTTATTTTTGTTTTAGCATCCAGCTTTGAGCTACAAAATGCTGTGCTTCGCAGGATTTATCCTGCTTTGCTAGCACTTTGTCTCACACTAGGAGCTACAGTATTTCAAGTTCGTCAATTCTTCCGTCTTTACGAACATATAAAGAATGATAAGTAAGTGTTGTTTTTCTTTCTGTGTATTTTGATTTTTTCCCCTCCTTTTTCTTTTGTAGTTTGTCAGTTTTTAAGCCTTTGTGATAATTTGTAAACCTGTGATAATTAATGGATGTCTAATGGCTGTGTGAGTAAAATCTTTTAAGGAATCAGACAGAATTCTTTGAACTAAAATGTAAAACTTGATGTAATTTGTTAAATATCATTTTAAATACTTCAAATCAATGAAATATTTCCATGTTATAGTTGTTGAATAAAGATAAGAAACATAGATATGTGTAATAATCGATTTGAATTATAATATCTAATTTTTGAAAATATTTTGACTCATAAGAATAAAACATTTAGCATGAGATCTCCATTTGATGAAATATTTTTCATGACATGAATATTGGTTTTGACATTGCCATTGAATTGGAGACAACATAATTATGTAAACTGGAGGCAGAATTTCCAACTTTTTTGCTGAAAAGATGGAAATAGAGCTGCTGCTCAAGGACTGTGCTTAGGAATCATTCATTGTACCTTCTTTAAGTAACTGCTGTAATTTATCTCCAGCCACATACGTAACTGTATGTCGGAGAGCTCTTCATTTAAGTAGCTATGTTTGTCACTCAAAATGTACACAGGAATAATGATTTACAACAACAGAATGTTTTTACCTAATGTTCAGTAGTGTCCTGTACCATCCAGGTGCACCATTTCCTCACATGCATGTTCTATCTCAAAATCTTTTTATTTAGGTACACACATACATTCCATTACAAAATCTGTTTATTAGGTACTCTTAAAAATATCAATAGCTTATATGTTGTATTACTTTACAGTACACTCTCAGATCATTTACAATCTGGATGCTTTAGCAAAGTATCAGTTCTTGGTGCCAACTAAAACCTCGATTATGTGAAATTCTGTTTGTAAAAATTTTTGACAGAATGACTGTCAGAACTGGAAATTCAAAGTTAAAAAGGAGTATTGAAGCATGCTATCCAAAACTGCTGTTGATTCACTTTATGTTCTTGGAATTTAAGCTAAAGATTGGACTATTCTTACATTATAATCAAATTTTTAATATTTTTTTTTTCCAAACCTCAATTTTGCCTATTGCAATTTGACTATATTTGGATTGATTCTTCACTTTTTCCATAAAAACAAAAAAACTTATTCCCAACATACCTATATCATAGCATGTAATTCCATACTATGCATTTAAAATATGAACTAAGTTTGAGGTTTTATCATATCTTATCTTTTAATAAAAAATATATGAAATATAAATTTCAGATTGCACTTCTTGAAAGACTACTTCAAATAGCTAGTTCTTCTTTATATTGTTACAGATAATTTTAAAAAATAGACTGCTTAATATAACTTAAAAGTTGTCAAAGTTATATGATTTAGAATAATTTGCATTTGATATAATATCGGATCACTAAATAGGACAGAATACATGCTGGATTCTGTTGACTAGGACGTTTGACAATAGTCCAATAAATAATTAATACAACAGACAAATAGGACTTACACAAACAGACAAGAGCAAAACTATATTTTGCTGAGTCGGTGCAGTGTATCAAATATTGCAGTGAATGGGTTTATACTAGGGAAAAAGACAAGGAATAATATAGTGTAGGGCTATTGTTTTCTCACTTAAGGGCTGTATGAATTTTAATTACATCATAGAATTTGCAATGCAATGAATCTCGCATGGAGAATTCATTGCATCGCAAATTTTTTTAAGATTCAAGAATTTATCCAAAGTGTCTAGGTATCAGCTAAAAATAATTTCAGTTTTGATGAAACAAGTCTTTTGTTTCCTGCTTTTAAAATGGACATCTAAAGACATTCAGTGTCATAAACAAAATCACTTCAATTTTTTACTGTGACCAAATACTGTTGAAATTTTTAATAATATTTTAACAAACTGAATATATCTTCTTAAATTGAATAATATTTTAACAAACTGAATGCATGATGATAAAACTGTGTAAATAATTGCACAATCATAAAATTATGATAAATTATTTGTATGCTTGTTATTCTTAAATTAAAATACAGATTATTATACATCTTTCCAGAGTTGCCTACTCTCCTGGTTTAAGCAGTAGACTCCCACTTTCGACCGTTCTCTTGCGAACCCGATTTGCAACATATTTCTCCTAATTTTCTCTTATTTTCAAAATTTCTCATGATTTTTATATAGCTTGATTTAATACTTCATTATTCTTACCAAAGGGGGGGGAGTGATTTTGGGCATCTGAAAGTACTTGAATTTTCTCTAGATTACATATAAAAGGAAACTAAAGTTGTTTCATCAGTGAGAAACTATGACACACTTTTGTTTTGTGAGAACATTTGTTCAGAAACATTATGTTATAGTTCTCCAAAGAACATCAAGTGCCGCTGCAGATAATATGACATATATAAGCCCAATGAGCACAAAGCAAAATCTAGGTTGTTATTTCATTTGTCTCATCGCTGAATACTTTGACTTTCATATGCTTTCAAGAAATATTTTTAAGAAATTGCAGTCTTTTATCTTAGTTATGTCTGGGAAAAGGTAAAATTGTCATGTACTTTTCAAAAATCGTACACAGATGACTTTCCTTAAGGAAATACAATACATTTATAATGTGTACTGTTTGTCACTGCGATTTTTCGATTCTGCATGGTGGAAGGTCTGATGTTCTCAAGTATGTGCATGCACCAAAACACAAGGACAACATGAGTTCTATTGAAAAAAATGAGAAATCGCATTTTTCTTTGGAAACAAAGGTCCAAAATGTTATTAATGCTGAATACCTGTTCTCTGCCTTTTTACTGGAGACAACCTGCCACTGAATGCATCAGATCATGCATCATGTTTCCTGATAGCAGAATTGCTAAGAAATATGCAAGTACAATATCCAAAACAGCTGCATTTTTTAAAGAAATAAAAATAATTTTTCATTTATTTGATTGCATTAGAACTGTTACATACTGGGTTTCTACAGATAGAAGCAATAATACAGATTCAAAACTGTATCAAATTGTTTCTTTTTTTTAATTCAGCGTCTCTTGAAATTGTGTGTAGTTTACTTTCTGTCCCTACTTTAGGAGGAATTCGACAGGCTGTAATATAGCATAGCTAATTATTAAAACCGTAAAAGAAAATTCAATTACTCTGGATAATTGCTTAGCACTTGGTGGCGATAATTCACCAGTAATGATAGGCTTGAGCACTGATGTTATAAGCATCTTTTAAAAAAAGAAAAGAAAAAAAAAAAAGGAGGGTTCAGATTTACAAATTATGAGATGCACCTGTCACATCTTAAATTTAGCAACTGAAAAGGGGGCAGCTTCTTTAGCAATAAGTGTAGATGAACACATTGTTGATATTTATTATTAGCTTCAAAGAAGTTCTAAAATGAAGGAAAAATGTAAACAATTCCAACAGCTGCATGATACTGGAACAAGAAAAGTTTTGAAACATGCATGTACATGCTGGGTAACTTTAAACAAATGTTTATTTAGAATCCTTGACCAGTGCAACTCACTTCTTGCATTTTTTAAACATAAGTAAATGATTTTAGAGTTAAGATAAAATGCTGTATTGAAAGTTATAAAACACCTATAGTAAATATTGTGAAGAATGAATATGTATGTTTTTGTCTTCGGAACCTTAAGCTTTTAGCTTTTGTGTACAATTCATGTTGCTATCATTCGATAAACATTTTTCTGCAAAGCACAATTCCATTAATTCTTGTTTTGCAATCATTGTTTTGTCTTCTAATTCTATATACTATGTGTTTATGGTGAAATAGAAAATCAGAGGAAGATTTTGTAATAAGGGCTGCAACTAATAAAGTAGTTGAAGGACTTTCAGAGGAAGACAAAATAAGTTTTATATCCGCTTTAGAAGCTACCTCCACTGAGTACATGATTAAGTACGTGATTCAAAAATTTCCAATCACTGATTTTATATATTAAAGTTGCAGATGTTTCTGCTCTAGCAAATGCATCTTTTTCTGATACAAATTTAAATTCTAAACAAATACATATAAAAGTAAAAAAGTAGAAAAGCAAATTTAAATTCTTTAAAAAAAAAAAAAAAAAAGTTAAAAAAGCCAAAATAATTTTAAAATATGCAAACATGTAAAAGATTTAATTCTCGAACTAATCTACTATATCATTTAAATTCAGAAGCATAAGCAAATCAAGTGTAAAATCTATCCATGAAAATAAATCTACTAATTTAATAAATTAAAATTAAATTAAACAATTTTTAAAAAATGCATATGTGAATGATCGTAGAGTAGGCAGGAGACAGGCTTATCAAGGGGAAGTTGCCTCCAAACCTAACTCTCCAATCATTCAATTCGTGTTTCGTATTCATGCAGGCAAGGGTATAAGTCAAAACCAAAAGTAAATTCCAATAAAGTGGTACTCTTAGAAATTAACATTTAAGAATTAAAGTTCAAAAAGGAAAATACTAATTAAGTCTTTGAGAGAAACAAGCAAGTAAAAGTCAAGAATTAAACTTTTTTTTAAAAAATGAATTTTTTAAAAATTAATTTTTTATAAAAATAATAAAAAAATCTAGAAACCAATGTATTTTAGAAATTCTTGTCTACAGAAAACTTCCCCTACACGAATATGCATATCAATAAAAAGAAAACTATAAAAGAACTATACATAATCCATATAAACCAATAAGAAATAAAAAACAAAAGAAACAAAAGAACTAATTCACAATTTTTAAAATAAAAATATATATTTAAAAATAATTCATATTTAGAAAATGCTTAGATACTACATAAAAAATTTTTAAAAAAATACTTAAAGCAAGTAAATAGTAAGTTTTAATTCTAACTTACCTACTATATGAGTGTTGGGGTCTGCAAAAGTGTTGTGAAAGAGAAGTAAGTGTGTTCATAGCCAAATTATCAGAATAAAAAATATATGTACTGAAAATTATGATTTTAAAGAAGAAATCATAAAACTAATTAATGTACAAGTTG